AGGCAAGCCCCGGAGCATATTAAGCCTCCTAATTTCCGAAATGCAGTTAAAGTATTATTGTTACATATATATATTGTTGCATTAAGTTTAGGTGTTGGATGCAAACACTTGCTGCATTAGTTATCCAATCCTTGTCCAGATATTGATACCTTGAATCCTATGTAGCTCAGGCTCGCGTAGTGCTTAGCCCTGCTTAAACGCGGTAGAAGTCAGGTGATTTCCTGTCACCTGCGAGATATAGAAATATACATATGGCACGGTTGGCTATATTTGCTATCGTAGAAAAAAACCTATCTTAATTAGAAATAAAGACCGGACGGAGGCTTGCTGGTTTGTAGTGACTCCGTCTGTGTCGCTTAAGGACTGAATCTTGGAGCTTTTCCTGTTCATGTTGAACGCATGCCTCTCTCTTAGTTGGCCGTGTCCGAAGACCGACCACGAAGCCGAGTAGCTCACCTCAGGCCGGGAGTCGATAAGTATAAAGTACGTCTCGAAAGGGAGCCGTAGGCGTGAGTACAAGGGCAGGTGATTTAAAAGTCCTGATCGTCCTGGCAGAAGGGTAATCCCTGAGAGTGCTGGCGCTGATCGAACCCGCGAATTTGGTTCCTGAGTTGTCCTAAAGATGACCCACGACTACCCTTGCAAAGTATGCCAGGGTGAAAGTTAGGAATACCCCTCAGCTGAGTTGTAATTCAATTTGAGTCCCCATCTCTCCCGGTTAGTGAGAACTTGACGGGCTTATCTCCAAAGTGGATACACTAAATAACATAATGGTTCAGAAATGATGATATGATGATGACAGCCTTATTATACCTGCTATGGTTAATATTGATTGCTCCTAATAAGTGAGTGCTCTACTACAAGTGCTAATCTAGTGGACAGGTAAATGATGATAAGCTTGATGCTAAGTTTAAATTGGTCACTATATTCATAAGCTCTTTTATGTAAATGTGTCAAGCTAGCCCACCTCATAAGCCTTGCATGACCCTTGGTGTCTTTTATTTTTTGTTTTGATGGGTAAGTCTAGCTGAGTACCTTCTCGTACTCAGAGTTTATCTCCCACCTGTTGCAGATGACCAGTTCTACTTCGGTTGCTGCAAGTATTGCCTTCTTCCGGCTGTGGATGAAGACTAGACCGTTGGGCGTGGTCTCTCCTAGTTCTTATACCTGATAATGCTTTTGTAGGACATGACTAAGATCTGGCAATGTATTTAAAACTATAAAGTTATGTACTAAACTATGTTGCTTCCGTAAATTTGAACTTGGTTTGTAATATTTTATTTGAACTCTGATGGATGTAATTCGAATGCTACTTGTGAAATGTTGTAACGAATGATGTGTTGTGTTGTGTTGAATCACTACGGTCTTGGTTTGTATGTCGAGAGTTGGTTGAAATCCTTCGTGATTTCCGAACTACCGGGATTATGGGAGCTTAAGTACAGGAATTTGATCACTTCGGTGATTGTTTTTGTACTTATGTTCTTATGATTTGGTCGGTTCTGTTACAGACGTCGTCGTCCACGCTTTTGCCCCCACCTCAAACGACCTCCACACCGTCGCCTCCAGAGGCCCAACCCTACCAAGAGGCAGGGTGCGATGCCTAGACGCCGCCCCTAGGGACGCCGACCAGGAGAAGCGTCGGGGAAACCCGCCGGAGAGTCCGCCCCCCACCGCAACCGGCAATGCCGGCCAGAAGCAGGCAGAACCGGCCAGCTCCACCATGAAAACTAGCCCGGGGAAGGGGAAAGGCAGATGGCAGGGAGAAGAGGGTCGGGATCAGAAGAAGCCCCAGTCGCCCAACCCAACAACGTCCCTACCCCTTGTCGATTCGGCCCCGCAACAATCACGCCGCGCAACACCTCCAGCAGCCTCCGCGCCGAACTGCCGTCGTCACGCCCGCTCCCCAGCCCTCCGTGGATCTCGGTCAAACCACATCACTGGCACCGGGCGAGGAAGACGCAAGATGCCACAATGGGGCGCGCATGCAATGACCATGGCGGCGTTCCAAGACCTAAGCCGGAGCCGCCGCCACGGACGCGATGGGCTCCCGCCAGATCCAAGAAAGAACCACCGGATCCGGCCCAAGAGCCACCGGATCCGGCCCCAAGCCGCCGGATCGAGAGGGATCCATGCGCCCACTCCGCCATGCCGCACTGTACCAGTAGGCCCCTAAGGACACCGGATCCGGCCCGGGGACACCGGATTTGCCTCCAAAGACACCGAATCCGTCGACTGAGCCACCGTAGAAAGCGCCTCGGTGGCGGCCGTCAAAGGGATCTCGCCGCCATCACCGCGACATCACGGGAGCCCGTGCGCAGCACCGTCCAGATCCGATCGCCAGACGCCGGAAGCGACCTCCTCTCATTCCCCCGGCCGAGATCCGGTGAGACCGGCGGTGAGCCCGATAAAGCGGCCATGCCCGACCGGAGCGAGCAAGGAGGAGGAGGAGGCAGTTGGAGAGGGCACGGGCACCACGTGGGCATGCTTTCACCGCCGAGCACCCGGCCACCACCCAGCAGATCAGATCCGCCACCGGACCGAGCGAGCCAGTCCACGCCGCTCGACGCAGATTTCACCGGACCCAGAACATTGTTTCGGCTGATTTGCTGTGAGAGAAAAACGCCGTTCCGACTGAAAAAACAAGCTGAAAAGTACGGATTATAAGACAGAGGGCGAAATTATCCACGCTGTCATCTTTGTCGGAAACGACACACTTCAAGTTGCACACCCATTCTTCTGAATGATCAAAGCTCGTGACGAGCTTTGAAAGCGAGCAAGTTACACTCACATGTTGGCTGCGAAGGGTTTCGTCGGAATTGTTGTTCTGCGTGACAGGGATAACTGGAGTTAAAAAAAAAGGAGTTGTTTCTCTATGAATTTTCTTTGTTTTCTTTAAGGATCGTATCATTGGAGATACTACCATTTAATTGAACGATGGCTGCAAGCCTACAACAAGCCCAGTTGTAATCTTCTTTGTTTCCTGGATCTCGATCTCTTGTAAAACTCACTTTTAGCAGTAGAGCGTCAGTGAAATGATTCCTCAAAAAGATATTATGGAACTTTTAGCCTGTAACTATCAAAGACAGGAACATCGAAGTAACTTAGCTTCACATATGTTGATCTATTATTATTCAGCTTCATCTGCCGTGATTTTTAGGCTGTGGCTGCAGCTGTTTGCTACAGTAGAAATCTATTTGATGTTTGTGGCCACAGCTGCATCTACAAAAATATGCGACGAGCACACCCGATGATGCGCAAATCTTTTACGTATTCGAGAAAAACTAAACATAACCCAATTGAATCAATCAAACAAGCTGAATGAGAAAAAAAAAGAAGCTCGATCGAAGGTAATATAAAGAGTAAGCACTTTCCCGGTCATCAGCCAAGAAAATCAAACATTTGACTCGATTCATATATATTGTTAATTCCTTTTAGCTAGCTATAGAGAAGTAAACTCAAAGATCAGATCGAGGCCCTGAAGCTGTCAACACCTACTCCTTAACAATCCGAAACCTGGTTTTCTTTAATTTGCTGAAAACACAATAGTCCGAATATAATTAAGGGATTTGCTATATTTCAGATGCCTGAAATATAGACTTTTTTCAGGCAACGCCTACAGCCACTAGATCTCCATCCAACGCTCAGGATCTGTCCCAGTTGTTTCTGTAGGCTTCCATTCATAGCGGGTCCGAAAAAATACCCGATACACATTGGTAGCCCTTAACGGGCCTGCCAAAATAAACCCGTTAACCATGGAAATATGTACGCACTGTTTTCTGTTCACAAGGAAACAAAATGGGTCCGCAGCGAAACCCAGCACATAGATCTGCTCCTTAACGGGTCCGAAAAAACCCGTTAAGCTTTCTGGAGGTGTACCGGACAACATGGGCCTATTTCTTCACATTGAACTGGGCTTTACATAGTTAACCAAAAATGCAGAAATTTGTCCCACTTAAACTCCTGCTACAAGTTAAATGTCCCAGCTCGCATGTGAAGTCCACAGAATGTGGAACACCAGGATTACTGCATAGTCTCACCCGACAAGATTCACATATTAAGATATTCTGAGCAAACAAAGGCACAATGAGTATGATCTTGAAAATTTCAAAACATAAATACGAAAATTGCACATTTCTAATAGTGCAACTAGTACTTGTTGATAATGCAATTATACTGTTGCTTTTCCTATACAAAGATCATACATTTAACTTGAGGCTTATCGTGGTATTTCTTCTTCATTTGCTCAATCACCACAGAAGATATATCGATATTGACAACATCTTAATAACTATCATCAATCATGTTTTCACCAAATACTACAACAATCAAAAGAAGGTAAACCACATAAGTAATTCCACTAGATTTGAAGTAATGTAGACATCTTGTATTAGTACAATACACAATATTTAGTCACCCAAAATGAGGTACTCTGAGTAAACAAACGCACAATGAATATGGTCTTAAAAAATTACAAAACACAGTTATAAAAATTGCACATTTCAAATAGTGCAACTAGTACTTGCTGTTAATACAATTATAATGTATATGTATATAATTAGAAATTCAGCTCATGCATGTGAATCCGGCTAAGAATACAGTTAACTTGTACTAATTAACAAACAACGACAACAGTTTAAGGATTGCTACCAGTGGCACTATCACTTCAACCAGCAGTTTTGGCAACACTTCACAAAAACAACCAGTGGGACACAACCACACAAGCATGACAAATATAGATCAATACATTGTGATATAAATCAACATATGAACTTCGACATTGTGATGTAAATCATGTTTCTCGCTTGTACTTCTGTCAGAGATTAGTAAAATTGAGCTCATTAGCACAAATGCACATTTCAGACTGTTTTGTAGAAAAATGTGTATAGTAAAACACGTTATATAGGCAATATAAACTGGCTTATGATACACACTTATGCAACTGAAACTGAATATATCCTTACCTTATCAGATTCAAAAAAAATCTAGATTCAGTCCCTTGTTCATTGAAATAAATTCAATGCATTCATCGGGGCTGGTTGCCCTTCCATTTCCTCTATCATATGATGTTCCTGAAAAATGTACAACACCATCAATTTAATAATCTTATTTCAACTACAAAATCCTTATACTTTTAAGTGATATAATCTGGTTTAATCAATTAATTCACCTCTGAGTCCCCAAAGGCAGCATCAACATCATCTAGACTAGCTTGACATGTTTTATCGAAAATAGGTTGCTTGTAACCTTTTTTTAAACCATGGATCGTTTTGTACTTGAGGAGTTGTAATCCGCTGTTAAAGTAACAAATAAAAAACAAGTAAGATGGCATTCCACAAACAACATAGGCACTGACAAGCAGTGGTGATCTGAGAGTGAAAATGTTCATTCTGAAAATCATCTAGTACTTACTTCAAGCTGTCACTTGTGTTTCATGAAAATTGTTATTTTCCACATTCATGTTTAAGTAGTGACTCACAGTGGAATCATTAGGATCCACCGATCCAGAATTCTGTCGATTAGCCTCTTTGCTCCAGCAGAAAACCAAGATGGACAAGTAAACTGAGCTCCTGAGATCTGCAACAGAGATAAAATAAAAGAAAATGTATCCTAAAATGTTAGTTTTTCGTGTGCTAGGTTTTTGTTTGGTCAAAGAAGTAGTTGTTTCATGTATATACCTTTTTATAAAGGGAAGCCGTGTTGTCATCCTCGAAAAGCAGACATCCTGCGAGCAGCACAAAAAGGATCACCCCACAAGACCAAAGGTCAGCAAGGATCACCTACATACTGGATAGCAATCTGTATTATGCAAACTTATTTCTGGCTAAAACGAAAAAATGAAGAGACGTGCAAACAAATATTACCTCTGGAGCAACATACTTTGGTGTTTCACATGGAGTATGCAGCAATCCATCATCCTGTTAGCATTGAATTAGTTCAAGATTGCGGTGTAAATTAGTGAAATGCAGTGAAACCAAAAGAAAGAAAGACACAGAAAGAAATAAAGCACAATAGTTTCTGTAGTATCTTGTCTGATAGTACCTTCACTTGGTCTGATAAAGCACTTAACCTGAAATCTGAAATTGAGGTTTCCAGCAACATCGAGTAACAGATTCTCTAGCTGGCATATGATAAATATCAACATTTTAATTTCATAGTATTTTGCTAGATCATAACTGATGATACAAACAAAGAGCTCATCAACACTTCTTTTTCTGGCTAGCTGTATTCTTTTTCTGGAGTTGACTCAAGCGTATCCACACTTCCACAGTATATGACAATGCGATAAGATCATGCACAAAACAAAAAAAAAACTTGTACAGAAAAAGACCTTGTGCACCCTTAGTATGAATGGATTTTGTACAAATTCCACAGAAAACAGATCACATGATAAATAATGATGAGAGTGAGAGGAGAGAGCTCTAACTGTCCTCTGGCTAGCTGTTGCGAGGGCAGGGAGAGAGAGAGAGAGTGAGAGAGAGTGTGTGGGTGGGTGGGGAAGAAGAGAACCAGCCAGTGGTCCAGGTCCAGGCTAGCAATGGCCTGACCCACACAAGTGAGAGAATATTTGAAGGGAGGAGGAGCTGAGTTTGTGGGGTCTCTATTGGCACAAATCACAATTAATAGATTCAATTTTTTTCTATAGGAGGATAAAGACAAATATTTGAAATGTGTTGCCACAAATCACAAAAAAATATTTTTTTCTATGAAAGGACAAGGACAAAATTATGGTGTGTGCTGGCACAAATCAACAAAAACATATTACAATTTTTCCTATAGAAGGACAAAGACAAATATATGAAATGTATTGGCATAGATCACAAAAAAAAACAATTTTTTATATGAAAGGACAAGGACAAAAATATGGTGTGCTGGCACAAATCACAATTAACAAACTACAGTTTTTTCTATAGAAATACAAAGACAAATATCTTAAATGTGTTGGCATAAATCACAAAAAATAATTTTTTTCTATGAAAGGACAAGGACAAAAATGTGGTGTGTGCTGGCACAAATCACAATAAACAAAGGACAAGGAAAAATCTATTTTATGTGTGTTGGATCACAATCCATTATAACAGGCAAAAGTAGCATACTGATCATACATGTTACTTAGTGAGACAAACCACCGATGCCCACTCAACAATATGAGTAGCCTATGATAAGAATATTTCAAAAAAAAATTGCATACAACAAGTGTTAAGATGCTGGTTGACAAACCTGTACAACTTGACGTAGATAAGAGGCATCATTTCATGTTGGCTGGAAAACAAAATAGGGGAAGTTATAGATAAAGACCGGATATTGCACATGTTAAACACCATAATTGCAATAATTTAAGTATGCAATTTAGTACTTATAAATGTGCAATCAAGAAATAGATACTAAACACAGCTTTCTTGTACAGTATATGCAACACACAGTTAAAAGATGTGAGCTCCTCTTATTCTACTACAACAGCCACAAAACAGGCAATCTATCCAAAACCAACTACAAGTGTACATCTTCCCCAGAGGCACATCAACTACCTGTCACACAGGGCTGTATATGACCTGTAGCTGTACGCACATGTTGGATGTGGGAGATCGATTGAACAATCGAATATACATGGTCATATATGTGATGTACTCACTATCTGACCAGATAACCTCCCAAGGTCATATATAGCCAAGAAGAGGATACTACAGACAACTATTCAAAATTAAACTACAAGATGTATATACATGGAGGTAGCGAGCATGATTCCATCAGTATGTTATACTTACACTCAACAATGTACAAAGATGGTCCAATACAAGGTGTTTACCAAAGTTCGAACTACAAGATGAACTGATTGCTAATCCTCCTGGAAAGCACTTAGATCTCCATGTATGACTGCAACCTACAAGTCAATGAGCTCTGCATGATAATCCACCTTCAAAATGCTCTGCCCAGTCTTGAGATCAAAAGTGTAGAGCCGACCAGTCGTCTTGAGGAAGATGACACCAACGACATCCGCAAAGGCAACCACAAATGGTGGTGCCCCGAGGGCAGGAGCAGGGAGCTGCGTGCTGAGGTCGATGGCTCTGTTGAAAAGGAAAAAGGAAGACAAGTGTTATGCTGGTTTCAAAACTCAACAGACAAACTGATAACCAGTGCAGCTGAATGAGAAACGAGCTGTAGACTGAAATTCAGAAAACTGCAGTGGCCAGTAAAATTTCAGAGAAAACATATTCATCTCAGATGCTTGAAAGCCTTGACAAGGACTGAACACCAAATCTAGCCCAATATTGAGACAAGGATTGTACTACAAATCTTCGTTGCTGTAGATACAGAGATTCAGTTAAAAACTAAACACAAGAGCCGCTCATGTGCAACTTTTGTCATGTGCTGTAGATATAGAGATTCAATTCTACTGTTGTGCTTTTGTTATGGGGCCTGCATTATTCCAAACCTAAGGATGATATCACTAGAAAGATTTGTTGGAAAGATACTTGGTGAGGTTCTAATGATGTTTACTGTTGCATAAAGCTGCAAACTGTGACAGATGGTGAGCAGCAGCAATCCAGATCTTCCTTCAGGCCATGGATACAGCGAGAAGTTGCACCGGTTGCTATTTCTGAGCTAGCAATCTACTGGAGATTCATTAATAAATTCCACTTTTCTAGGTAGGTTTCACATGTGAGTGTGTTTTCTTTTCCAGGGACAGATTCGATGTAAGGATCTGATCTCTTGGCTGTCCAACTACACAAAAGATTACAACTGGATAGTCAGGGAACAGGTCTTACATTTAAAAGGCCACTAGGAACTATGACCGGCCTATCAAAAATCCCAGCTGGGGCCTAGGGTCAGATTTATAATAAAATTTCCTAACAGAGCTGTCACCATACACAGCAATGAGTGACCTACTAACATAACATTAGTGGAGTGGGCTTTTGACGAAACTTTTAGTATCTGTACCTTTTCCTATTACAGTTTAAATCGCTTCAAATCAAGACACAATGGTCCTCAATGATTTCTTTACAAGTACGTGTTTTCTTATGCAAGGAAACTTATATGTATTGCTGGTAATATTTAAATACGTTTTTTTCTGGATAGAATTGAATAAGATGATAAGGAAACGAATCGAAAATTTACCATACTTACAAGTTAAGCTAGCTACCTGCAGTACCCACAAGCTGAGCTGTTAAGGTACCTGAATTGGGGATGAGAAGGGAAGATAGACTTGGGGAAGGAGGAAGCAGAGCACGGGGATAGGCGAGAGGAAGCGTTCTTAGATTGGGGTTGTTTTTGAGTTCAATACTTGTTGTCTCTCTCTGAGCAGAGCTCCTACGTCCGGCTTGCCGATGGGTTGTCTCAGCAGCACAGCTGCTTCAACTGCCTAGGGATCAAGCCCATTGAGGCCCAGTAGTACGAGTACTTGGAAACTTGACATGTTCGCTCCTCCTCCGCAGGTTCTTCAGGCAGTGCAGGTGAAGCAGGCGCTGCCGTAACATGAGCCTATTCCCATTTCTGGTGTGTAGGTTCCACCAATGGCCCAGCACACGCATGCCACAGCTCCCGGTACAGGGCGTCATTAGGCATTCCTCCTAAATAGAAGCAAATAATTTGCATCAATGGGTCATCAGAGCAGATACAGAACGTACAGAAATAGTTATTCTGCTCTATTTTATAGTTCTGATTTTATAAATACTAATCATGAGCTATCTGAACCATTACAAAGAATGCAAAGTCGTTGCAAACTGAACCGGGGCGCATGCATGGATCCCCCACATAAAAAACATCCCATTCCAGAGGCAACAATACCGGTGCTAAACTAGCCACATATCGTAGACACTAAAAATCAAAGTAATAGATCTAGATTTGTAATAGGTCCCTGATCCAAATTTTTCCCCATTTGAGAACTGGTGACACGCATGCCTCTGTACAAGGAGAAACGTGGTCAAAATATGAAACTACTCTATCGACACTTGACAGAGAACAATCTAAACGAATCATCGAGAGTAGGCAAGCCAGTTTAGCCAAACCGCAGCAAATTCATAGAAGGTGTAGCTTGCAAGGACAGGACTTGTAGGAACAAGAAATCCATCTAGAGACAGAAATCCAAACCTGAGCCAGCAGCCGCTCCATGGATCTACCTTGACGACGCCCGCGAGCACAGGGAGGAATCACGCACCAGAGGATGTCGCCGGAGATCCTCGGAGATCTCCAACAGCGGACACACCTAGAATGCCGATCTCGCCGGAGGATACCAAAATGTGGGACGACCGCCAGTGAGGCGCCGCCGCTGAGGGACGACTGCCCCACCGCGCGCTGCCCCGAGCGTGCACCGCTCCTCGACTGGGGGCCGACTGTGGTGCTGAAGGGAAGGAGAAGGGGATGCGCCAGCGCCACCGCAGCCGGTGGTGGGAGGCTGCCGGGGAGCCGGAGGAGACAGATCGGCCAGATCTAGGACTGGGAGAGTGGGAGGGAGAGCCGGAGACGAGCGAGTCGTTGAGCACTCGAGCACGGCGGCGTCCAAGATAGAGTGGGCTGCGGGAGGGAGCGGTGTGTGTTGGGTGTTTTAACGGGTGTAGATTGTAAATGGATTACATCCGAACCCAAAACGGACCCAAGAGATCGTCCACTTGCATCAACAGATAAGGCGTCGCCTGACGGGAACGCAGATTCCAGGCGACTGCTGTATAGGAAAGGTGTATAATTAAACACCATGAGTTGTGAGAAAGATAAATGACCGATATGTATGAAAGGACGTTAAAAGGACCTGTAGTGGAACCGAAAAGCCAGCAGGCAATAACAGTGTAGACTTGATAAACAGTCTGCGTTGTTCATTGCCAAACAAAAGATATCTTTAAAAGGGGACATGGCAATTAAGTGCAAGTATGTGCTATACTACTGCTTCCCTAAAATGTCAACGGGTGATTGCGAAGATATACAAGAGACTAGAGCCAGACCGCGTGTTATATGTCTGGAGGAAAGTGACGCGCGCGGGACTAGGACTTTGGTGCAAACAGGGGGTGCTTGATCGATCGTCCAGCCGTCCAGGTTTTTTAAACAAAGCAACGGAGAGCGAGAAATTGAGCAAGAGAACCTATGTAACTTCTAATCTAATACTCGAATTG